CGACCACTTGTCTGAAATTTCTTCAGCCTCGCCTTGCTAAGACAATACGTAGCCAGAAAGAATGCCCCTTCTTAAATCTTTCACGGGAGAACAAGATTTGAGTTCAGTAGCACTTGAAAGACGGACAAGATTTCCAGGGGGTGAGTTTTTGAGAGTCGACGCTCCCTTCGTCAGATAACAAGGGAACTTTGGCTCTGGGAAGCTTATACCTTGGAAATTTTGTTGGTCTTTTAGGTGTTATCAGACTCGAATTCTTGCTGACCAACACAGCTACCCATCTGAAGCAAAATAACAAAAGTTTGAGTCTAGGGGCACCCTTAAGACCACCAAAGTGTAATTGTGGGTATAAGCTTTTGTGTTGGTCTTAAAGGTGTCACTGGACCCAAACTTTGTTCCGCCTGAAACCGGTTCACATAAAGAAACCATCTGAAAGCAGCAGTCAATCGCAATGTTCCCTCTGCCGAGTTTTGTGAGCAAAAATGCTACTTTGTGAGCTCCTGGCATTAAAGTTGTGAGCGAGCGATTTGGCTGCTGCATAAATTAGTTTGCTCTGGCGCCATCCTTCCTGAGCTAAGACAAAAAGGTGTGAGCCAGAGGCTAAAAAACCTGTGAGCTAGCTCACACTCACTCAGCTTAGACGGAACACTGATCCAGAGTACTAAGTAATTGTGTGAACTGGCAATTTGGTTGCTTTGGGGAAATGAAACTGCATCCTATTCTAGATGCTACCAAAAATGGCTTCCCCTACGCTTGTTCTTTTCCTACTAAGTGTAATTTAAAAAAAATAAAAATAAAATTGGGGCTTAAGTTGTATTTAATTTTTCCTCCAAGTTATTTTGCCTGCTGAGAGCTGAAACTTGAACTAAAGGAGAAGGAGAAGAAGAAGAGATTGGATTTATACCCCGTCCTTCACTCGAAGTCCCAGAGCGGCTTACAAACGCCTTCCCCTTCTTCTCCCCACAACAGACACCCTGTGAGGCAGGTGAGGCTGAGAGAGCTCTGCGAGAACTGCTCCTGAGAGAACATCTCTGAGAGAACTTGTGTCTGACCCAAGGCCGCCC